AGAATTTTCCAACATCCAAGCTAATCTTCCTCCAAGAAGCATTATCCACCAATCTCCCCCGCCAAGCATCTACCACTCTCCTCCACAAACGCTCTTTCCCCTTCAAATACCTCCATATCCATTTAATATGCAGAACCATATTCATCTCAACCATTGAATGGATCCCCAAACCCCCAAACCTCATGGGTTTCTTTGCCTCCTCCCACTCACAAGGTGGTACCTCCTACTCTCATCATCCCCCCAAAGGAAATGACATTAAATTCTTTCCAACATCTCAATAATCTTCATAAGAATAGTAAGAGCCGACAAATAGTATATAGGAGGATTGGAAAAACTGTTTTTAATAAGTGTAAGCCTACCTCTTCTAGACAGAAAATTCCTCTTCCAGCTAGTCAATCTCTTCATAAAAAGATCTATAACTGAATCCCAAGTTCTTAGGTTCTTATATTTGGATCCTACGAGAAGACCCAGATATTTTACAGGGAGTTTTGTCATTCTACACCACAACAAGCCCGTAAGGGAGTCATCAGTATCCCAGCCCCCTATTCTGACCATCATATATTTATTTAAATTATGTACAGACCAGATACAGCTTGAAAACACAGAAGAACACATTTAAGACCCAGGATCACCCTCTTCTCTGGCTGACAGAAAATCAACATATGATCGGCGAAAAACAAATAAGAGACTTCAACTTGCTGATTTCTTCTCCCCACCCAAACCCCTTGCATCAAATCCCGGTTCCTTTGTTTTTTCTATCAACTTGTTCAGGACTTCCATTACAATAAATAAAAAGTAAAGGCAAAAGTAGATCTCCTTGCCTTAGATCCCTAGAAGACTTGAAGAACAAAAAAGGACCTCTATTGATTATCACTGCAAAGGAGGAAGTAGATATGCATGTCCGTATCCATCTTTTCCACTTTCACCCAAATCCTAACCTCCTTAACATATAATCCACAAAGTCTCAGCTAATATGGTTGTACACTTTTTACATTTCTAACTTACACAGTATCTCCTCATTCTTGTTGCTCACTAGGTCATCCACCACTTCATTAGCCACTATCACTGCATCTATAATCTGCTTCCTTTCCACAAATGCATGTTGGCTTTCCTCAATCACCATACCAATACACTGAACAATATTTTCGATAATACCTTCGATATCAACTTGTATATGCTTCCACCAAACTTAAAAGTCGAAAGTTTTTAATTTTTTTTACCCTTTCTTTCTTTGTAACGAGAACCAAGAACGTGGAGTCTAAAGATTTCACAAAGGATCCTAAGCTGTGAAAGTCTTTGAATACATGCATCAAATCAGTTTTTACCACAAGCCAAAAATCCTGTAAGAATCTCATGTTGAAGCCATCAAGACCGGGAGCTTTGTCACCATTACAATCCACGAGAGCAACCTCAATCTCTTCTTCCGTGAATTCCTTCTCAATGTTGGTTCTAACATCAACATCCAACTCCTCAAACTGCAAATTATTCAGCCGATCTTCGCAATACAAATTAAAAAAAATGTTGACTTCTTCCCTTATGGCTCTATTACCCTTGATATTACGATTGTCCACAATTAACTAATCGACATGATTACTTCTTATGTGGCTAGCCAAACAATGGAAGTATCTAGTGTTTCTGTCACCTTCTTTGATCCACTTCTTCCCTCACCTTCTATCTCTATAAGATCTCATCCATCCTTAATCTATACACCAAGTCCACTCCCAACCCTTCTCTTCTAGCCCTTTCCTCCTTCGAGACTCCCCTCTCCCTCTCTCTCTTATCAATATCATCGATCTCCTAAATGATACTGTTCATTCTCTCCTCTTCTTTCAACTCTTCTTCTTCTCTCCACTTCTTCATCTCATCTTTCAAAAATCTCAATTTGGAGGCCACCTTGTAGCTAGCTTTACCATTTACTTCAATCTCTTTCCAACATCCAACAACCATGATTCCTTTATGTTCATCCGGTAACACAATCCCTGTGACTTTCACATTTGACTTTAGTCGCCCTAAAACTTTTAAAAGATGTCGTTGGAAACATCCTAAAACATTAGAACAAACTCCCACATGGGGAATTTCACATAGAATAACAATGAATTTCAATCAATCCTAACTGCCTTTCATTTCATATATAAAGATTATTTGAGCTGCTCCCAATTAATATGAACCACCCTCAAGGAAAAATGCAAACTCAATTATCTTCCAAACACCATACTAAACTCAGAGACCCAACCTTCAATGATTGGGGCGAAGAAAACTCAATGATCATGGTGTGACTCTAGAATGGTATGACTCCAGAAATCAGCAAGATCGTGATGTTTTCACCTACGCCAATACAAGTGTGGGATGTAATAAGAGAGACCTATTCTATAGTCAATGATGCAATATACACTTATAACCTGACTGTCAAGACATGGTCCACCAAGAAAACAGGTCAGTCAATGAATATTTTAACATATTAAGAACTAGTGGCAGGAACTGGACCACTACCACAGTCTTACACTTATTACAGTAAAAATGCAGCATGCTTCAAGAAATTTGTGGAAAAAAATTGTGTCTATCAGTTTTGAGCAAAACTAAATCCTGTATACAATTAAGTAAGGATTAAACTATTGAGAAATGAGATGTCGATACTCTAAGATAATTTCTATTGCCATTGCGAAGGAGAGTAAGAGAGGGGTCATGCTAGAACCACACTCCATTGATAGCTCAATCCTGATCTCACGAGACTCTAAACCTCATCAACAGACAGAAGAACTGAGAACTCAGTTCCTAGAGTAGATAACTGAGATAATCTTTTGTGTACTTTTTGCAAGAAACCTAGAGACACTAAAGCAAAATGTTGGAAACTACATGGCAAACCCAATACCTCAAGCAAGGAATAGGGATACAAAATTACCCAGCAAAAAGGTTCATGTAGTCAACTAGCAGGAGGAAGAAAAATCTACTGATCTCACTATATTCAAAGCTGAAATTGAATGACTGCAGTCGATTAGATGATCTTCAAAAACCCACAGGTACATATGTTTATCTTTTCATACGGTTGGAATGCCTCAGATAAATCATATGAAAATTATGGATTGCAAACTTAGGAGATACCAATCATATAACCATTCTATGTCTAAGTAATAAGAAAATCATCACTGTCATTTTAGAAAAAGAAAATCATCATTGCAGATGGTTCTCTCAATACCATTGCAAGAGGACAACATTAAGTTTAGTCTCTACCTTAGACCAAGAAAATATGTTGAATGTTTTTAAACTGTGTACTAATCTAGTGTTAATCACTAATTTATCATAAGATTTGAACTACAAAATAATTTTGTTCTCTTTTCATTGTGACTTTTAAGGACCAGAACTCGAGAAAGATGATTGGACATACTGAAGACATAAATAAGTTTCAATATTTGAATATACCTAAGGGATATTTTTCTATTGTTACTACCGACTATA